TCCCTTCCTCCCTCGTCCTCCTCGTTCCCCTTCCCCTCATCTCGCGAACCACCATTCACCGGCGGCTGTTTAGATTGCCGCATGGTTCGACATGCCACAAAGGACCGATCCGTGACGCTATCGATGGCACTATCATCATCTTGCACTGATGCATCGACGGTGCATCTGCATTTCTGGCATCCGCAAACATCGTACTTGCGAACAAACTTGGCCCGTCCCTCCATATGACGGTTATTATCCATAATTTTTAAATGGGACTTTACGAGCTTGAAAGTTACGTTGTTTCCCTTTTGATACGTTGTTTGATTTTTTACTTTAAAAAATTTTATTTAAAGATTATATAAAAAAAAAATATAATTTATTATGTGTATATATATATATACATTTTATGTTGCGATAGCTTACATTTTGCGGCTTTCATGTATATTTGAATATGAATAAAGAGAGGAACTGACTGAGAAAGCAGCTTAAAGATCCCAAGAGAGGAAGACGCTCGTCTCAAAGTTAAGAACATCGATGCAACATTAACATGCCATTTCACATCAAGATGTAATATCGATGAAGATGTCGATAAAAAGTAATATTTGAAAGATTTATCAGTACACGAGGACATTTAATCATGTCGAAATTTTCATTCTTACATTCATGAGGAAGTAATATAAATTCAGAAAAAAAAAGAGTAATAAGAACGGTGAAGAAACAGATAAAATACCATGTAATATATCTTTTCTTTTCCAAAACAATTTTATAACATTTTCTTTGTACTTTAATCTTTAATGACACAGTTATTCTGTTAATCAAAATTTTAATTTTTTACGTTGTTAAAGCAAAATTATTATTATTATTCTCCATTATTATTATTATTCTCACATCAAATCTCTCATTCTTGACAGGATGATCATGATTGTAATGACGCTACTTGGTAGTATTTCCGAAGCAGTCTTCCATGAAGCTGCTCTTTGTAAGATCGGTTCGACGCGCGATCACGCATCCATGACTCTTCTTTGTGTTATGTACTTTTTCACCCGATGATATGAGCGAAATATCTAAGAATCCGTAACAAATAGAAGTCTTTCTTTCATCCCTAGTTTGATCTTCAGAATGGAATCGCTTGCGCGGATATCTTAAAATATCGCCTAGAGCACCACATCTCCAGAACCTCCTCAATCTTATGTCGATCTAAGCGTCTATATCGCGACGCCATATGGAAAGATAAGGAACAGCGGAAACTTCATGAAAATCAAACTTTAGTCTTGACATTTCTATCGTCTGTCTTACATACATTTTCTAATCGATTCACAGCTGGTCTATTTATATATATACTGACTTTGTGCGTGTATTACTTTGCCTACGATTTTTACACATCTAATGTATTCTCTTTTTTGTACAATCTACTATCATTTTGTTTCCACTGATTGTACGATTAAATTTGATGCTAATCGAGCGACAAAAATATTCTCGATATCTGTCGCAGCTTGAGCGAGAAAGAATAGTGTCGGTTTGTGTCAACCCATCACCTTGACATATTATTCGATCTCTTTGACATAATAGAAGCTAAAAAGTCTTGCGAGTTTGTTTAGAGAAAAATAATATACTCGGTGGCGAGAATATTCGAAGGAACATCTGACAGAAAAGATACAGCAACGAAGCATCGGGAATGTTTCAACATTCTCGATGTTGCAATTTACAGCCCACGCGAATACATACGCGAATCCGGTTTCATTCCTCGACACCTCCCCTCTCGTCCCGCGAACGTGTTGCGTCGCGCCGCAGAATTATCAATTTATTCGATATTTATACGCGGAGAGAGGCGGCCGACCCAATCTCACTCCTAGCTCGTGAATCGTTCATTAATTAACTACCATCCTTCGTTTCGACGGAATTAGTTTTTAATCATAGCGTCCAACGTTCGTTAGGAAAATACGTTAACAAGGACCAGAGTGTATACTCACCGGTGCAGAGGAGCAATAGGTTCATTATCGCGATCTGCGTCCGGCGGTTGATCCTCGGCTTTCTATCCATGATTACAGGAGACGGAGTTTATACAGAGACGAAGAGAGAGAGAGAGAGAGAGAGAGAGAGAGAGAGAGAGAAAGAGAGAGAAACTTCACACGGGGATAGTAATTTCACACGTGTTTCACAATCGTCCGCTGATCCCTCGTCGCGAATCCCTCCCTGTATTCCGAAACTCTCACCGAAGGCGGCAATCAAATGATATAAGCATCGTCAGTGTAATATATATCACTCGGTTATCTCTCTCACGGTATGTATTTATTTATATTCTCACAGGGTCGTGACACAACACGCGCGCACATCCGAATGCAATTCACTGCACGGGTTGTCGCACTAAAGCGGCTGCGGCGGCGGCGACGAGGGAGACTCTCGCTCCACCATTCTTCTTCATCGCACTCGTTTGCAAAAATCCGATCGACGGCGTTCACCACCACTTCTCTCGATCGTCGTCGTCGTCGTCGTCGGTCGCTATCTTCCAGATCTGTCAGTCGTCCTCGGGCGGATACTCGCCGGCGCTCTTACGTTAGCAACGACACCGCGTCCCGACGAATGCATCAGGCGAAAGCGACGACGCGCGCGATCATCGTTTCAAACGAGATGAGAGAAGACTCCATTCCCGCACGGGGCGGTGAATACGTATGTGTGTGTGTGTGTGTGTGTGTGTGGTACGTACGTACGTGAACCGCGTGCACCTGACGGTATTAATTGTTTCCTGCGGTTGGTGATTTAAATCGAGATTTTCCTCCTCTTCGTCTCGACGGAGATATGACTCGGAAACTATGTTATTATTATTATTTTTTTTTTTTTTTTTTTATCACTGTTCCACAACGAGACAATGCGACGGTGAGACCGGTCGAGCTCCCTTTCTCTCCCACCCGGGAGGATAAACGGATGAAAGAGCCTCGTAAAAACCAAGAGTCTGGCGCGAAAAGCAAAACCGTCGCACGTCCGTCGACACCACCAATGCGTATCTCGACAGTCGCACGGCAACTGAGCCTGCGATCTCATCGCGCCTTTGCTGCCCCCACTCTGTCGCTCCCCCCCCCCCTCTCCCCCCACGGCCTATTTGAACCGCCACGCATAGTATGCCGCGTTCGTACTACAACCGACCGTAGCAGCGGTGGTGGCGGTGGTGGTGGTGGTAGTGGTGGTGGTGGTGGTGGTGGTGGTGGTAGCAACGACGACGACGAAGACGGTGGTGGTAACCGGCCAGAGCCGGATGCACATCTGCAGGTGCAAGAGGCGCTAACTCGAGGCTCGTCCGTGAGAGAACTCGCTTATCTCGCAGGGTTTCTCAAATCGCGATGCCTCTTTGATGAATACGAACGAAGAGCGAAGAGAAAGAAGAACGAGAGTACATAATTTAAACGGTAAAATATAACGATTTTCATAAATTAATATAGTCGCATCGCGATAACAATTTTGCCCCCTCGATAGCGTTAAATAATACACTACACTGCGAAAATATTCCCTAGAGCGTATCGCGCGAAGAAGTTTCTATTGTTATTTAGTATTATTCAGCATATGTCGTATTTTCATTATGACATAAAATAGCTTTAAATAAGACTAAGTCTCGAAATATGGTCTCTCTGCATATATGGTGTCCCTCTTGAGATATATACCGTGAGTAAAGTACTTGGACGACACTAGGAACTACTTCAACTCGCTGGTAATAGTGCATTCTGGTTATGTGAAGAGAGTGTATTACGTTTTGCTCTTTTGAAACAACGAATTTAATGAAGGCGGTAAATTTTTATAAGGTCCTTAAGTACATCACTGCTTATGTTTTTACGAGATAAAACATGTTTTTTAAGAGATACAACAGTGCCGAGCGATTCTAAGATTATACGACCGGATATTAAAAAAATGGGAGGGAAAAGTATATTTATACAATTAGACATGTCAAAGTGAAAAAAAATTATAATCCCTTTTTTATTATATATTCCTAGATTTTAGCAATTTTTTCCTCTTAAAGAAATGTAGTACGCGCGATCTGTGCAGTATAAAATTATAACATCAATCACAATAGAGAGAGAGAGAGAGAGAGAGAGAGAGAGAGAGAGAGAGAGAGAGAGAGAGAAAAAAAAGAGCAAATTTTAAATATTTCTCGATTTTATCGGAGAAATGCTCGGTTATATAAAATCCGCCGAAATTATTTATATATATATTTTTTTTTTCCTAATTGACCTGCATAATAAAAATTCAACATTACGCTGAAATAAAAGCAAAGTATCCATTATCCACAAACTTTTTCAAGAGAGAGAGAGAGAGAGAGAGAGAGAGAGAGAGAGAGAACAATGTGCTACTACACTTTAATTTTACTGAATTTACAACCAATGCATATGATATATGCGAGCAATCGAATGTATATCTATAGATAAAAATTGCTCGATTGCAATAGTTCCAACGCAGTGTTTAATAATCAAATTTTTGCTAAACGTATCTTTTCAATAAATATCCTTTCAAGTAACCATCGCGGAAAATTGCATGAAGAACTTAATATAGTGCAGTGATACTTAGCAGTGATGACGTCTACATTTAGACAAGCTAATTTTGGCGGAAGGTAATCTTGCCAAAATTTACGTAATTCTCTAATTTGAGTCTGTTAATCGGTACCCATATGACTGCACATGGGGACTAAACGAGTTTAATTATTTTAATTACTTAAGAGAACTTTCCGGCCAATTTTGCTACAGTGTATACAATATAATATAATGAATAATATAAGAGATAAATTTACATTTTTCACTTATTTTTGCATTTTACGTGCTTCTCATATATAACTTGTCGCCTTCTTTATCAATATAAATATCTCTCTCATTTTCTTCAGTTTTTCCTTCTAATTAGGACTATTATAATTATCGTATGTTATAGAACTCGATAGAATTTAAATAAACTCCATCTCCTTTTTTTTTTCTTTGTCTCTTCTCTCTTCATATGTGAAATTCATTCGGAGAAATATCTGTCTTATGCTCGGGGTGTTAATACGGCACGAGCCAACCCTGTCGGCGGTGGCGGCGATGCACAAAAGGTGGGGATGACCATGCGGCGGGACGGAAGGGACAGAAGGGTGTCGGCGAACGTTGGGCCCTAGTCGTGCGAGGGTAGAGGAGCGGCGAGGACGAGGGTAAGAGGTGCACGACGGCAGTTTGCCCCCACCGATCTCTACGGCAGGTGGTTCTTTCTCCCGCGGGCTCTCCACTCGAGGGACCACCAAGCATTTCGGGCCGACCGCCTGTGTACCGTCACGGAAACGAAGCAAACCTGCTGCGAGCGCGGCTGCACCCCGGATTGAAGGGCGCGCGTAGGGGTTTTTTTTTCTTTTTAATGGATCGCGCCTCCCTCTGATAGAACGCGACCGGTTGGATGAGGCTCGCACTTGTATCGTCTTTTGCGAATCCGCCATTCACAAATGTACTTGCGAAATTATAGTATTTTACTCCGTGCTGATTTTTTTATTCGCAAAACTCTTATCCCTAATGTATTTTGCCTCCGAAAAAAAAAAGATAATGTTTTTCTCGCGTGAAGCTTATTTCGATATCTGTAAAATATCGAGCAGAGAATACGCTGTAACTGTAAAATATGTATCGACGCGGCAAAATGGTGATACTTCGATAGTAGTATCGCGGTGTCATTAGCATTTTTGCGTGTCCAGTTGCAGTTGCGATATGATAGATATCGCGAGAATTTGAAAGAGTTTTATAAACAGTCGCCCCGTTTGCCGATTCTACACATTAATCTTTCGCTTTTTCCCCTCCCTTTTAAATAAAAGCGTTTCTTTATGGAATACTCAACCGGTGTGATTTGCATAGATTCGCAATTCGCAGAAAAGATAGCGCCAACGCCGAGATGGCTGGTTTAGGGGCTACACAAAATGGATTCTTTGTATACGCACGTACACACTATAATATATATGTATGTGTGTGTAATGTTCGTATCGCAGCTTATTTCGTTGTCGATTGTAGCTGTGGAATTTGGAGGTGCGCTATAGCATAAATTAGCGTTTGATGCACTGGGGGTCTCGCCCCGTTGGTAAATGATAAACCGCGTCGCGGAGATTAAAACTGTATTTTGCATTGGCTGCGCGGCGCATCATAGGATGTCGATCACGATGGCCCAGTTGCAGCGGCCGCGGCCATGTAAATTAAACTTGGATCCGATAAATTTCGGCATATCGAGACAATCTTAATGGATGAATAATGATGATGACGATAGCCGATAAAAATAACGCTTTTTCATTTTACACGACGGGGAGGATACAAATTTGTTATTGTAAAAACAATACACTTTTTCGCGCGCGTGCACGAAATACCTAACATAGATCAGATCGAGGTGTATCGAGCCGCATTTAAAATACGAGCTAGACCGACATGTGACAATCTCATTTTGCCACGTTACATCACGTCCTACTGGAATGCTCGAAGGAATGCAGAGGACGCGTTTATTGCGTAACACCACGTTTATTAGGATCGTATACGACGACAACGCGCGCGTGTCGTCGTCGCTCCTCGAGTTGATCATTGTTGGAGACCGGCACAAACTTCAATCTTTCAAGCTTACAAACGAGTTCTTATTTGTCTGTAGCGAACAAAGGCGAGCGTGTAATTTCGCCTCCGAGACGAGGCCAAGATAGCAGCTGAAGATTCATTTCGCATCGCCGTAGAAATTTCGTTAGAAACACAAGCTGTAAGGCACGCCCTCGCAAAACCTTCGCTGTTCAGATGCCCTTCGCTACCTGGCCAGTCTGCCTCGAATCCTTGGACGTGGTTGCCTCTCTGGTCGTGACCATCTTTACTTTCATCTCGTGAACGATGGAAGGGCTCTGACATATGCAAGCTCCACATATCACGGTAAAGTATCACGATCATGTTCACGTCGACATGCATCGTCGACATGCGTTGTCCGCAAATATGGGCAAAGTACCACCCAATATTGGCGACAATGTGTATATTGGTAACATTATCGCCGACAAATATTTGCCACCATGTCGCTATTCGATAAACATCAAAGAAATGCTGTCGAAAGATGCCGGAGACTCAACTTTGCGTACAATAGAATACTGTCGAAAACTTTTATATTTTAGCGCACTTTTCCCATTATTTTAAGCGATCGTATCAAAGTCGTTGACTCGGGCTCTGGAAACAGTGTCAAAACTTGTATATAGCGGCCCACGTTTTTTAATTTCATTAATTTTGCTCTTAATAAAGTATTTATGAGTATTGAATGTTCTCCGGGGAAGGAAGCGACATCGAAAACTCGACGTCTTGTTATTAATGGCGTGAATTCGATATGACAACATGGGATATTCTTGGCAACGAAATTTATCTCCGAAACGTTGCCAGCAATTATGTCAGCTATATTGCGGTATCGTAAACGCGGCTTGAGACCTGTATATTTTTATTTACAGCTTCGTTCACGCTCTCGACAGTCGCCCGTTTCCGAGAGGAGAGACATCATTTTTAACAAAACTTTTATGTGAAATGAAACGCGTTCTCCCATGGCGACTTGTGCATGCGCGCACGAGTCTGGAAAAATTGTCGATCAATCCTGAATAAATAATTAACTCGGCCGTTTTCGCCAAATAACGAATTCGATTAATCAATGATAAAATATGCATCGTAATCATTCGTGTATTATTAATTCGATCAATTAATTAACAAACCGAATTCGTTTATTGCGCAAGTACATTCGATATCAAATTCGATATCACATAACGACTTCTTTTTTTTTTTAAAGAGAGCGACAAAGTAGATTTTCAGTAAATGTAAGTCCTCAATCCTGCATCCATTAGCGGAGTGCCGTAACATGTTCATTATAAAATTCCAATAATTAATATTTTTAATTCTTAACTATCTCATAATTAAAGTTGATACATATATATTTTTATTACGCAAATAATTTCTAATGACCAATAATACTAATGATATGTGCAACGAAATTTGACGACAGCACTGCTTACGAGAAGTTCTGTTCGCCTACATCAATAAGGTACTACTTGTTAATGGCATTCAAAGATTTGCAAAGTGACGTAACAATCGTAACTCCACTTGGGATATTCAAACGCTGCTTTAAATCGTGCACTAGATTCTAATCGGTCTAATGGAAAATGGGATTGTTCGAGGGAGAGAAGCAAGCTTAACTGTTTCGAGTTCTCGCGATCAACGGCCGGTAATTAGCGGCGTACATAGAAAGTCAATCGCGGCACCGATTATGCGCGCATCGGCGCGTAACGGAATGCGTGCGTGCGTGCGTGCGTGCGTGCATTCGTTTGTTCGTTTAACGCGACATTGCGACCCGTCCCGATTTTCGGCCTCCGGACGACACGAATGAGTTGATCTGATTCGAGGTAGCGGAGCGAGAGCGCGTATCCGAGGGTTGGTGGAGATCGCGCCGATGTAGAAGCTCGCCCCGTTGCAATTCGCTCAAATTGAGCCGTCCAATTTGTTCGGATTGTCATGCTAAAACGGGTCGGATGCGGCGAAAGAACGAGCGAAGAGAGGAGGTGAAAGAAGGGCGCTCCGTCACAGTCTTGCCATTGTTATTGGAATCGCGTTCGCAGAATACATTTACGAGACGTATGCGTTTGACACGCGTTCCCGTATCTCATCCTCGGTGACCGATATACCGGAAGGTGAGACGCGCGAGAGTTAATATACGTCTCGCGGAAGTTAGTCCGCGTCCAAGTGTCCGACTACTATGATAAAGAAAGTTTCACGCGCAGAGTGCTTTCTGTGAAGATTTTCATTCGACGATAATTATATATATGTAATGTGCCATATTTCAGGGTGTCTACTCTCTGAGAAAATACGGATAATTTAGATTTCTCAAAGATTTTTTTATATTTGGAAAAATCAGGAAATTCTCATGAAATTTTATTGGAATTCAGGCAATTTAAGAAATTCAGGAAATTTAATTTAATTTTGTAATTAAAAAAAAAACTATTATCTCTTTGATAATTTTGTTTTTATATTCCAATCCACCGATTTGCCAAGTTGTGAGAATTATATGCATTTAAAGTATATTATAAATATATATATTTATATATATATATATCTGTTTATATATTCAATGTTTTAAGAATATAAAATGTGCAGTACATATTTTTTATAATTTTAATTTTTTCAGTGATAAAAAAGAATAAAAATGTTATACAGAGATGAAAAATGTTTATCTTCCAAAAGCTATTCGGTTGTTCCTCGGTAAATCTTCAAATCTCGTACTTGAAACTTGAGTGGTTCTTTACTTTTCCTTCATATGAATGAAAAGCATTAGAAAACACACACAATGAAAAAGCTTATTTTAAAAAAGTTGCTTTTAAAGAATCTCTAAAAGAATTCTCTTTACCTGAAATTTTGAACAAAAAAATCTGGAAAATGAGGGAATTTTTTCACAAAATTTGAGTGAACACCCTGTATTTGTAACTTATGTACGATTCGAATTTATCACAGGATAGCCAATGACAACTTTGGCGCGGGTCCAATCGGAGTACGACCGATGTCTACGACGGGTTTCATTGACCCGTTGCACATCGTTCGATAGTCGAGATATATCGGGAAATTGTTCGGGAAAGTTGAAGCGCGTTATCGTCACTTGAAGTTGCGTTAATAAATCCGCCCAATAAACGATTTCGATTCTCGCTCAGAGGCGACTGGCGCGCTTCAATTTTTACGCGAGTGCCCAAGTGGCGCGACCAGGCCATTATGTGTCATTTACTTTCCGATACTTGAAACTCGTCGCCGACCTCGCGCGATTAAATACCGCGCGAATGCATACATATGTACACACGGCACATGCACTCGCGTTTCCAGATGCGTGCATGCGTATGCACTCTACCATGCCCGCGGGACGACCGGTTGTATCACGCGACGCGTAATACGCAAACCGGACGCGGTTTTAAGCCCATTTGCAACTGCGAAAGATTAATATATATTCCGCTATTCTGCCAGAGAAAAATACGTTGACACCGATCTCTTCGTTACACTGGAGCGCAGGCGTCGTATGCTCGAATATAAAACTGCGTTTTCAAAATTCCCATACGGTCCAAATTTTTCGTAATATATATATTCCAAGAATTAAAAAATCGTGCAATCTATATAATTAATTAAATAATAAAAAGTGTTATATTAATGAAAGATGCATCAATCAAGTATAGGTACATCGTAACAAAATTATTCTTTATCTTAATATTTAATAAAAGTTATTTTTTTATCTTGCGTACATATTTATTTGAAGAATATAAAAAATCGAGTATAAAAAAAAAATCGAGTATAAAAAAATTTTTCAGCTTGCGTACAATGCATGCTCTCTTGGATTCCCTGAATATTGACGATAGAGATTTTCTTCGTGAAGACGTTATAACATCTCGCAGTCGCCCACGTTCGAAAGAGTATTCGGATGCCGGCCGATTCGACGACGCACAATCGAGTCTTTATTTTCCCGGGACCGAGGTCATCTTCGCGTTGTGGCAATAAGCGATAACAGCAATGCGCCCTGCTCATCCGTATAAGTGCCAGCGCACACAAATATACTCGATCCTTTCGACTCGTTATTGTCATCGTCGACGGTTCGTTACCCCGTCGAGTCCTTTTGACCCCGCGAACGCATCTCCGCGACTCCGCTCCCCCTTTTTCTCCGCGTCCTCCTTCTCCATCCGCGGATTTTTCATCTCATCTCCTCGCGGTCTCGTGGTTTTCCATTCCCGTTTGGCTGCGTGCGCGAATCTACCGTTTTTTTTTTTTTTACACAGTTACGGCACCACCGTTCGATAATTCCGAGAGATCATCATCCGAGAGATGAAATCTTGGAAATAAAATCACATTCGAAAAACTGCAATATCGTAGTAGAAGTTTGTCAAAGAAAGAGGAGAAAAGTGACCGTCGCCGAGAAATTTAATTTGCTCTTCTCTTAACCAGTTTAGTTGATAATGCGGAAGACTTTATATAGATTTGCGAAGAGAAGCTGTAGGTAGGAGATTCACGACAACGATATTGCATAAACCGCCCGTCCGATTATATCATAAAAGCCCGTCGAGAATTACCGGTAAGAATATTGAAGTTATAACGTGGATTTTGCCACGGCGAAGACTTGAAGCTCAGCTTGCGATGCCGAGCATTCTAGATTCGCGAAAAAGCAAAAATTTATTTCGTTATTTATAATAAATTTCTAGAGATATCGATTATCATATTCACCGTAGGAATATCGTATCGCATAAAATTTTGACGATAATCTCCAATAGAGTTTAACATACATTATGTACAAAGCGACTAATGCCGCCGTATCTGGGACGAACGTTCAAAATTCCCATGAATGAAAAGTTTCGGGTTAAAAGGATCCCCCACTTTGGCGAGGTTGTTGCTTTTACATACGAGATGCAGCATGCGCTGCCTTTTGAGCTCAGCTCTATAAAAATTCCTCGTTAAGGAAAAGCCAAAATTCAAAAAGGGAGTTGTGTCGTGAGAATAACAGTTATTAAGCTCAATGCTCGCTTTTACGTTCATTACGAATACATTGCGAAAACATTTTCGCTCTTTGGATGAATTTAGAATTTGCGTACGGTTAAACGTTTGAAATGTTTTTCTTTTTCGTACATGTTATAATTTCTGCGATATTCGCGAAAGTTTGCTTTCTCTCTCTCTCTCTCTCTCTCTCTCTCTCTCTCTCTCTCTCTCGCAAAAAGTATTTTCAATATAATTTTCGTGAAGTTTGCAAACCTATCAAGTTTTATCGATATCGGCAAGCCCGCCAGCATTTGGTAAACGCATTGTACGAGATACGAGAGAGCGAAGCCTGTATCTCATCGGAAGAAGCAGGCGTCACGCTTATTTAGGACGCGTCATCCTAAGTGTGATCT